CTTTATTTCAATTGAATGAAAGAAGTAACTTGTGATTTGACTATTAAGGTCTATTAAATGTTGAATTAGAAACACATGGTGAAAAAGATCATGTGCGTTTGCTAACATAAATTTGAAAGAATGTATTTGAATTTGAAAAGTTAAAATTCAATATCACTGTTTATTTTCACCTAAACAGAAAGTAATTGGATTTACATGAAATACATGCATTTCAGCAAGGTAATTCTAAAGAGTAAAGTCCATGTATTTCAATTTCACTCTCAAACCCATGAATTTCAATTTTGAAATGAATTTCGTCTGCAATCTTCGCTCTCACCGATGGGGATGAGGCTTTCATCGTCCGAATCAACCTCAGCCAACGAATCGTCGGACAAATCGCTCTCAGCATTTGATTCATCATCCTTGCCATCACTCGAATCATCGTCATCATCCTCAAGTCGGATTTTGGGAAAACAACTATATCCATGTTGAGCTCGTGAAATTCACCGCCCCACAAGCGAGACCCATAAGATGCGACGACAAGAAATTTCCTAGACTTGGAAACTGTAGGGCTATAATCGACGGCTTCGTAAAGGGTCAACCGCGTAATTTTCTTATCCTTATCATCGATTTCAGTTGAGTGAAGAGCTGCCCAGCTCTGGAATTGGCGATCGGGTTACTCTTGAGCTGAAACAAAGTAGAGGTGGTTGTTCTTCAAGATAGGATGGTCGTGAAAGAGGCTGTGGGGCACAGATGCTAGCTACTCGAGATTGGGTAGGCCAGGGCGAGTGAGATAGATTCGGCGCGATCTTGATCTTTCGGAGACAAAGACAACGGATTGGTCTTCATCAACGAATTGGGCGTTGAAGTTGACAGAGCAGCCATCAGTGAGGCGGTCCTCAATGGCGACAGTGATGTGGTTTAGTTGGACAAAGAAGACATCGAAGCCATAGTTTGGCCTGCTAATGGTGGAAAAGACGATGGTGCCTTTGGGATCCATTAGAACTGGGGTGGAAGCATATCTGCCGTTAGTGTGACTGCGTGTAGTCGGAGTGCTGGGGTTCATGAAAAGAGATTAATGTTTATCCTCTCCGATGTGGAAAAAATTAAACAGAAAAAATATTTTAATTAGATAAAAAAAATTTTAAAATTAAGTTATTTTAATAAAATGTTATAAAAGAAAATTAAAATATTTTTATTTTTATTTAAA